ACTTTCAGTTTGTGAGTGTCTTTAGGTCTGAAGTGTGTCTCTTGTATGCAGCATATATATGGGTCTTGTTTTTTTAATCCAATCAGCCACCCTATGCCTTTTAATTGGAGCATTTAGTCCATTGATGTTTAAAGTAGCAATTGGTAGGTATGTACTTACTGCCATTTTTTAACTTTTTTTGTCTTGGTATTTTAGTAGTTCTTCTCTGTTCCTTTCTTCTTCTCTTGCTCTCTTCCCTTGTGATTTGATGACTTTCTTTAGTAATATGTTTGGGTTCCTTTCTCTTAGGTTTTTGTGTATTTATTGTAGGTTTCTGGTTTGTGATTACCATGGGGTTCACGTATAGTAACCTACGTATATAGCAATCTATATTAAGTTGATGGTCTCTTCAGTTTGATCTCTCTCTGAAAGCTCCACTCTTTATCTCCCCTCCTACCACATTTTGTGTTTTTGATATCATATGTAACCTCTTTTTGGGCATTTGTATCCATTACCCTCTTATCATGGAAATAGATAATTTTTCTTATTTGTGGTCTTCTCTTTCCCCCTTACATAAGTCCCTTTAGCATTTCTTCTTTTTTTTTTTTGGTAAGGAAGATCGGCCCTGAGCTAACATCTGCCAATCCTCCTCTTTTTGCTGAGAAAGACCGGCCCTGGGCTAACATCCATGCGCATCTTCCTCCACTTTATATGGGACGCCACCACAGTGTGGCTTGACAAGCAGTGTGTTGATACGTGCCTGGGATCCGAACCGTCAAACCCCAGGCCGCAATAGCAGAGTGTGCACACTTAACTGCTTGCGCCACCGGGCTGGCCCCTCTTTAGCATTTCTTGTGGGACTGGTTTCTTGGTGACAAAGTCCTTTAATTTTTGCTTGTCTGGGAAACTCTTTATCTCTCCTTCCATTCTGAATGATAAGCTTGCTGGGTAGAGTATTCTTGGTTGTAGGTTTTTTCGCTTTAGAACTTTAAATATATTGTGCCATTCTTTTCTAGACTGTAAGGTTTCTGGTGAGAAGTCAGCTGATAGACTTATGGGATTTCCTTTGTATGTAACTTGTTACCTTTCTCTTGTGGCTTTTAGGATTCTCTCTTTATCTTTAATTCTGGGCATTTTAATTATGATGTGTCTTGGTGTGGGCCTCTTTGGGTTTCTCTTGTTTGGTGCTCTCTCTGCTTCCTGTACCTGGATGTCTGTTTCCTTCCTTAGATTAGGGAAGTTTTCAGCTATTATTTCTTCAAATAGATTCTCTGCCCCTTTGTCTCACTCTTCTCCTTATGGGACACCTATAACATGGATGTTAGTGCACTTGATGTTGTCCCAGAGGTCCCTTACACTGTCCTCACTCTTTTTAATTCTTTTTCCTTTTATCTGTTCAGCTTGGGTGATTTCCTCTAGTCTTTCCTCCAGCTAGCAGATCTGTTCTGTATCCTCTACTCTGCTTTCGAGACCCTCTAGTCAATTTTTCATTTCCAGTATTGTAGTCTTCATTTCTGCTTGGTTCTTTTTTATATCTTCCATTTCCTTGTTGACGTTCTCCCGGAGTTCATCCATTCGTCTCCCAAGATCAGTGAGCATCCTTAACACTCTTTGTTTGAACTCTCTGTCGGGTAGGTTGCTCATTTCTTTTTCATTTAGTTCCTTTTCTGGGGTTTTGTCCTGTTCCCTTACTTGGAATGTATTTTGCTTCCTCATTTTGCCTCTTTCCCTGTGTTTGTGTCTATGTATTAGGTAGGTCAGCTACGTCTCTTGATCCTGGAGAGGTGACCTTCTATAAGTGATGCCTTATGAGGCCTTGCAGTGTGCTTCCCTCTTGTCACCAGCTCCAAATGTTCCAGGAGTGACCCCTGTGTGGGCTACGTGTGTCCTTCTGTTGTGGTGCGGTCGTTCTTGCCGGAGGTGCCCAGGGATGCTGAGCTGTCCCCCTGGCCAGCTGGTGGTAATGCTCAGCTGTGTGTAGTTGTTGTCGGCCCTTCAGTCTCTTTATCAAGTGTGGGGAGCCCCAGCACAATTGGCTGCAACATCTAATAGCACATTCCTGTTGCAGTTTTTTCATTAAGTGGGTAGGCCCCCTGTGTGGCTGCTTGTTGGGCTCAGGAGCTTACAATTGGTGTAAGCCTCTAGCCTATTAGGTCTCTTGTCAGCTCTCTGAGGATTGCAGCTCCAGTGCCTCAGGCACTGGAGCACCCAATTGTTTCAGGCTTTGGAAGGTGGGGCCAATCCCCTTGTGGCTCTTTGAGAAGCACAAGTCTTCAGCAGCTGGCAAGCCCCATGGCCCATAGGTCCACACACAGTCAACATGGTCCTGCCCCATGTGCACATCCCAACTGCCTGAAGTAGACTCAGTATCTCCAAGGCAGGAGCCTCACACGCTCCACCATCACCTTGCAGTCTCCACCCGCTCCTTGTGCACGCCCTGCCCCACAGAGGTGGACCCACTCACCCGGCTGCAGAGAATCCAGGCAGCTCACTTAGCAGGTCCACAAGTTGCCCGAGGGCTTGTTGTTGGGTGGGCCCAGTCCCTAGGGTGGGCTACCTGCCCTGGCTGAGCTGGATTAAATTGGTGCTTTAGTGGGTAAGGCAGACTTTGGGCTAGCAGGCCACAGGAACAACTCCAATGGTGTCTGCCAGTGTCTGTGTCAGCATGCCCACACTAGGTCACAACAATGGCCACCGCCAATGTCCCAGTGCCTGGAGAGGTGTCACCTCTCACCGAGATGCACTCAGAGCCTATCAGGTGAGTCTCTTTTCACCAAAGGACTGTACACCTTTCTTTCTGGTGATTTTAGGTTGCTTTTCAAAATGGGTGAGTTTGTGCATGAGCCCTTTAAGAGCCGGCTTTAATTTCTTTGTGTCCTAGCTTTTCTAGGGGTATTCCCCAATATTGTTAGTAGCCAGCAAAGCCAGATATTATAACACCTCAGTTGTGCTGGGTCCCCAAAATTTCTATAACGGTCGAGCTCCCCAGCTCAGGGCCCCCACTCCTCCAAGGGGGGCTGCTCCTAGGCAGCTGTGAAGCCTTGTGGCTTGTGAAGGTGGCATTTTTTTCTTTCCAGAAGGGAATTTCTGCCTCTTCCTCCTCAATTAGGATTGTCATTTGTTGCAGGAGTTCCCCTTATCCAGTTTTCAGTTCTCAGGGGTAATTTTTTCAGGAGTAGTTGTAAATCGGCTGTGTCTGTGGGAGGAGGTGAGTTCAGAGTCCACCTACGCTGCCATCTTGACTTTTCTCTATCCGTTTGCCTTTTTTTAGTTGACTATGGACGTTGCTCCCACTGTCCTCAACTATTTGAGCAACTGTTCTTGCCAAAAGACTAATAATCTTAAATCAGTTAATTTTTTTTTGGACACTGAAATCAAACACATGTTAATTAAATCACCATTGATAAGTGTATTTCCTTGCTATGCTGAAAAATGAGCCACTTGGAAACTTACTTTCATTGTAGCCTCATTTTCATTTTTAATTTTTGTGAAGAAATTCTGCTCTGATGAAATAAGTCTGTTTTAAATTTTCTAATATTTTTGACCTTTGCTTTCATGTGAGTTGAGAGTATTGTGATGAGTGCGTCATGTGGCAATGTTGATATTTGTTGTGTTCATTTAGTACAGTGTCATCACGTCATAAACACCATGCTTTGCCATGTAATTTAATAATAAAATAACGCACACTCCAAAAGAGCAACATTCCAAATCCCCTTCTCTTCTTGTTTTGACATACGTATGCACTGATAAAAAAGGCCACAGGACAGTGGGACCGTGGCTGCACAAGCTGTCGAGTTAGAGTGACGTCGCTGTGGTTTGTGGTGTGCTGAGCAGCCTGCGCAGCGATGAGGGTGCCACGTGGTCTGTGGTGACTGCTCAACTGTGCTGTTGTAGCGCAGAAGCAGCCGTAGACAAACAAGGACGTGAACGAGCACGGCAACGTCTCAGTAAAACTTCATTTACAGGCGGAGATTTGAATTTCATAGAATTTTCATGTGTCATGAAGTATCATTATTCTTTTGATATTTTTCAACCATTTAAAAATGCATAAAAACTGTTTTTAGCTCGTGAGCTGCACCAAAACAGAAGTTGGGTCAGTTTGGGCCTGCAGAATTTAGTTTGCTGGCCTCTATCCTAGTGTGGCATATGTGTTGGGACCAAATATATTGTTAATTATCTATAGTTTCGGATAATATACTTAAGATTTTCTCATCTACTGTTCTGCAACCAAGGTTTGGCTATTTGAAGATCTGTCTATACTTAAAGAGATTGTATCTGAAAAAAATTACTGCATTCTCATTTGTAGCTTCAAGAAGAAGAGAGAAAATAACTTGATTTTGTAAATGGTGCTTTTCCAAAATTACAATTAGGGAAGTTTCCTTTTGTATTTTGTACTTCAGGAAATATTTGTAAAAGCTAAAATACTGGGTGTCAGTGACCATTTATTTGTGTAAGTTTCTGAAATTTCAGTGGGCGTAAACTTATAATTTTTATTTATTTATTTTTTTCCCCCAAAGCCCCAGTAGATAGTTGTATGTCATAGTTTCACATCCTTCTAGTTGCTGTATGTGGGACGCGGCCGCAGCATGGCTGGAGAAGCGGTGCGTCGGTGCACGCCCGGGATCCAAACCTGGGCCGCCAGCAGCAGAGCGCGCGCACTTAACTGCTAAGCCACGGGGCTGGCCCTAGGTGGGCATAAACTTAATTATCCTGGCGCACTTCAGAGTGATAGAGTTAATTCCTTGCAATTGATCTGAGTCTAATATGACTTATTTATTTCTGAATATTCAGCAACAGCTGGCATTCCAGCTGGAGTTGGAAATGCAAGAAAAAGAGAGACAGAGAATAGAAGAACTACAGAGAGCTCAAGAACAATTAGAGAAGGTAATTTGGACTTTTATAAATGTCTGTTTTATTTTTAAAACCTCTTAGAGTCCTCAGACTGTTTCCTCCTGCTGTTATAGCATGGGATTCATGGTCTAAAGACCTGCCACACATGAGCTGTGGGACTTAAGTTTTCAAACCTTTCTAGTCTCAGTTCATCTTTTTGAAAAACAGGGATAACAGTATCATATTATTAGCAATGTCTCACTGGGTTGTTGTAAGGATCAAATAAGATCGTGTATGTGAAACTGCTTTGTGAGCAGTAGAGCTCTTGAATAGTGATATTGCCAACATTTTAGTCAGCCGATAGTTGTTCCTAATTATGGTAGCTGATGTTGAAGGTCAAGTTCTTTATGATATTGGGAATATTCTGATCTCTGAGACAGTAGTGTGTTTCTTTTCTTCATGTTAGATATATTATCAACAATAATTTACATTTTTAAAAACATGTTTTTGTATGTATTTTTCATGTCTTTCATTAAATAAACTATTCACCACTTCTATCAAAACAGTCAATCTCTGTGGACTGTGTCCATGTCATGTGCTGCCTCTAGTTTGACCAGTGTTTCCTTGTAGCCAAAATATATGTTCCGTATAGACTAAACTTTTCAATGACTGAGCTATACTTTTCAACTGGATCTTACATATTGTATACTTAGAGCTAGTATCTGTCACTCAAATGTTACTCCCCCATTTATTCCATAATTAAAATTTAAAACAGAAGCAGGTTTCCTACGATTGCTTATTAATATCTTAGATGACAGCTTCATTATTAAAGCAATTAAACAAATTTGGAAGGGTGAATTGAATAAAAAAGATGAGTTTTTTTTTATTGCGGTAACATTGGTTTATAACATTATATAAATTTCAGGTGTACATCATTATATTTTGATTTCTGTGTAGACTACATCATGTTCATTACTGAGAGACTAATTACCATCCATCATCACACACATGTGCCCTGTCACCTCTTTCACCCTCCCTCTCTGCTTTCCCTGTGGTAACCAGCAATCCAATCTCTGTCTTTATGTGTTTGTTGTTGTTGTTTTTATCTTCTATTTATGAGTGAGATCATACTGTATTTTACTTTCTCCCTCTGACTTATTTCACTTAGCGTTAATACCCTCAGTGTCTATCCATGTTGTCACAAATGGCTGGATTTCATCTTTTTTGTGGCTGAGTAGTATTTCATTGTATATATATACGACATCTTTTTTATCCATTCATCCCTTGCTGGGCATCTAGGTTGCTTCGAAGTCTTGGCTATTGTGAATAATGGTGCAGTGAACACAGGGGTGCATGTATCTTTATGCATATGTTCTTTGGATAAATACCCAGCAGTGGAATAGCTGGATTGTATGGTAGTTCTATTCTTAATTTTTCAAGGAATCTCCATACTGTTTTCCGTAGTGGCCACACCAGTTTGCACTCCCACCAGTAGTGTATGAGAGTTCCCTTCTCTCCACATCCTCTCCAACTTGTTGTTTCTTGTCTTGTTAATTATAGCCATTGGGATGGGAGTGGGGTGATATCTCACTGTAGTTTTGATTTGCATTTCCCTGATAGTTAATGATGTTGAACATCAAAAAGATGAGATTTTAAAAGGATAAATCAAAAGCCCTATACATAGTGTTAAAAAAAACTGACGTTATCTTAGTCTGAGTGCAGTAGGACACATGGATACACATGTGTATGCGCGCACGCACACACACACACACGTAAATACATACCCCCTTTCTCTTCAGTTAAGATTCAGAATCTAAAATGAAAGAAGAAAAACCAGAATACATTAAGAAGACAGATCAAGATGATAAGAGAATTGAAAGTATTTTTCATCAAGATGCCCTGAGAGTTATAGCTGAGTTCCAGAAAGTCTATGGTTTGTAGGAGGGACTGGGCTCTGTTTTGTGGCTCCAGAGGGTCCCCCCATGTTATTCACTATCTGGAGGCATCATCAGACTGTGGGACCAGAGCCACAATAACTTTAATCATCCATGTTCCTACTGGCTTATCACCCCTCAACTCTCTCCTGCAGAGTACCGCTGCCTCACACATTGCTCAGAGACGAGCCCATTCGTGTCCTTTCGCCCTGGCCTTCTTGTGGCTGCAGAGACACAACTTAAACTATCATTTGCAAAAGGAAATTTATTGGAAGGATCCTGGGTTTGAAGAAAGGCTTTTACAACTAAACTGTGAAGGGCTCTGGTACAGTTGGGCCTTCCAGAGCTTTGGGAGCAAGAGAATGCAATGCTACCAGGGCTCTCACCTCTGCTGTTCTCTGGCCGTTAGTGTCAGTTTCTCACTATGACCTGGTTTGCTGCACGTGGGTGAGGAACATGGTCCTTAATGGCTCTAGGGTCTCATAGTGTTGTGGCTCCTCCTGACTGAGAGGATTGGGTTCCTTTTTTTGGTTTCAGTTAAGAAAAAAATCTTGGGGAAGGATTCTGACTGGCTTAATTTGTGTTCCCCCTTGGCTGGGGGACAGGGTACTATGAGAACATAGACTTTCCCACTACAGCCGTGTGATTGTGAGATAAGACATTCTCAGGAGAATGGAATGGTCTTGAGAAAACAGTACAATATATGTCCCCTATAATTAACAAACAGCCAAAATGAGTCAGCTCATGGTCAGTTAGGTCACCTTGCTGTCATAAAATGAAAAGATAGAGGCCATAGCAAGGCTTGCCTTGGTTAGAAGAACGTTTTCACATTCAGAAAGAGGCCTTCTGTGTGTTCAGAGATTCTAGAGGGCATTGCTCAGGCACCATAAAGAGGATTTGCCCATTGGATAGGGACTTGGGCCAGATTAATTCTTTCAGAAATATTTTCTTTTTTCTTATTATGTTAAAATTCTACTTAACTGCGAGTTCTCTTTAAAATCTCTTATTTTAAGAGTTTATTAAAATTTTTGTTTTGTTACTTTTCATATTTGGTAATAATTTGGCTTCAGGTTTAATGTTTTAGCCCCTTTCATTTTTTAATAAGCTGTATTTAATTATAAGCAAAACATGGTCATCTTCTATTGGTATAAAGTATTAAATGAGACTGTGATCTGCAGTTTTACATTGAATGTATTCAGATCACTCCTTTAAGAGTGACAACATTTTTGCTGTTAAATTGATCATAGCATTGTATAAAAATAAAAATGCTTGAAAATTAAACATGGAATCAAAAGTGTATTCAAAGCATTTTTCTTCATTTTTATGTATTATAGGAGATGAGAATGAATATGGAAAATATAGCTAAGAGTGAAGATACTTCACATTCAGAGGTAAGAAGAAGTTATTCTGTGTTATGTGAAATGAAGGGGTATCCTGGAATGTAAAGGTTAATTCTGCTGCATTAGTAGCTATATTTTTAATAAGAAGATTATCAAAACTGATAGTCCAAATATGTATTCTGGAAAGAACAAGTCACAAATATGATGTGGTTTAAAGAAAAATCTCAAAGTGGATAAAAATTGGACGTTCAGTTTGTGTTTATATTTTCAAAAATCAGAATATTGTGAGATATTGACCACATGATTACTTAGAATGATATATTTTAAATTTTTGACTATATTTTTTTAACAAGTTTTAGCATTTATTTCTAGAATTCCTTGGTCATTAACGAGTATTGGTTCATTTCATTAACTAACAATGTTGAATTTTGATGTTGTAATTCAGAAATTTATTATCAAAGTTGAAAGAAAACTAATGTATTAATTTTGAAGTCATTTAAAAGTAAAAATGAATTTTATGATTGTAGGATACAGCAGCAGGCTCAGGCAAAACACTCGCTGAAATTAGTGACCGATATGGGGCACCTAACCTGAGCAGAGTGGAGGAACTTGATGAACCGATGCTGTCTGATGTAAGTGTCTTTAGGAAAGTGGTGAAAGCCTAGTGCATTGGAGGCCAGGCTTGGTTGGCAAATGGGTCTTTGGCTTCGTAGAAAGAAAACTGGTTCCCTGGTTGCTGACCGTATCCCTAATTGGCCTTCTGCCCTTTTGTGAACATGTGCTGCTGGCCTCAAGGGTGAGGATGGGCACACGTCTGGCTCCTCACAAGTGTGTCAGTGCTGATGGGAAGGTAGCTGGAAGTGATGTTGAGATAATAGTGTGCCCTTTTGTGCAGAGAGTGGTATATGTATTTTGGAGTTAGGCTTTGAAGATTTCAAAATCTCTTCAAAATATGTATTTAAAATCATTTGATGAAATACATAATCTTTATTTTATTTTTTTAAATTTTTTGTTTATTGCAGTAACATTGGTTTATAAGATGTATAAGTTTCAGGTGTACATCATTACACTTCTATTTCTGCATGGATTACATCATGTTCACCACCCAAATACTAACTACAACCCATCACCACACACATGTGCCGAATTATCCCTTTCGCCCTCCTCTCTCCCCCCTTCCCCTCTGGTAACCACCAATCCAATCTCTGTCTCTATGTGTTTATTTGTTGTTGTTATTATCTACTACTTAATGAGT